GTGGGTCGCGGTGAGCGCGCAGGTGTTTCCCCCCCCCCCCCCCCCACCCCCTTCCTCCCCTTCCTAGGTACTTTCCTTTCGGGATCATCTTCCTGGTTGCAGGGAAAATCCTGGACATGCAGGATCCCAGCACCCTGGGCAGGAAGTTGGGTTGGTACGGTATCACGGTTCTTTCTGGGCTCTTTGTCCACGGATTGGTCCTCCTTCCACTCTTCTACTTCCTCCTCACCAAGAAAAACCCCTTCTCCTACATCAGAGGACTTCTGCAGGCCTTGGTCATCGCCCTGGCAACCTCCTCCAGGTCAGAGGACTGGACCAGACTGGATCTCAACAAGACCTGGACCAGACTGGACCAGACTGGACAGGACGGTGCTGATAAGTTGTGTCTTCTGATCCTGGTTCCTGGTCTCTGTTTCCAGCTCAGCTACGTTGCCCATCACCATGAAGTGTCTCCTGGAAAACTGTCACGTCGATCGTCAGATCGCTCGCTTTGTGCTTCCCGTGGGCGCCACCATCAACATGGATGGAACTGCACTGTATGAGGCTGTGGCGGCCATTTTTATCGCTCAGGTCAATGACTACGAGCTGGACCTAGGTCAGCTGGTCACCATCAGGTAAAGGAATCTGAATACTTAACCCTAGCCACATGCTAAATGCTAATGTTGACCACATGCTAAGCTAAAATAGATGCCAAGGCTAACCCCTAACCTCTAACTCTTCACACACTAAATGTTAATTCTACTGCATGCACATTAACACCATGTTCAACTAACCTCTGGTGGTCAGTGTGAACATCACCCCCACACTAAATGCTACATGCTAATCCTTACCACACATTAACTTCTCCTGCTCAGCCCACACAAAATAAAATTAGCTCTGCACTTAACACTTAATGCTAAGACTTTAAACGCCAATCTTACCCAACATTAACCAACACCACTATAACCACAAACAACAGACACATTTCTAGAATGGCTAATGCTAGGCTAATTCAAAATCCATCAATAAGTACAATACTGAGCTAATGACATAGATATTCATATAGGACTAATGTTTCTGGGCTAATGCTAAGATATGGGTCTGTTGGACAAATGTAAAACCAACTACCATTCTTTAGCAATTTTTACATCTAGCTCAAGTTTTACTTAAACCTGCCTGTGCTCCTCCAAGCATCACGGCTACAGCTGCTAGCATCGGAGCGGCAGGTATCCCGCAGGCTGGGCTGGTTACCATGGTGATAGTGCTGACGTCTGTGGGATTGCCCCCTGATGACATCACACTTATTGTGGCCATTGATTGGATCCTGTGAGTCATATGATTTCTTGAGGTTTTCTTAGTTGTGATGTCACAGTGACGCCTTTCCTGTTTTGATGCAGAGACAGATTTCGGACAATGATCAACGTTCTCGGTGATG